GTGACCACTGAGTTTGTGTGTGGTGTGTTTGTTTGTGTGTGTGTGTGTGTGTGTGTGTGAGAGATTGTGTGTGTGTGTTAGCTGCCCAGTGAACAGAGATCCGATGGAGAAATATAAATAAATAAATAACTGCGTTAACAAAATTATCGGTGTTAAGCGATAACACGTTAACGTGCCCAGCACTAGTTTTAAATAAAGATGTGAAGACGACACTCACGCAAAGACAGTGCAGTTGTATCCCATAATGACTTCATCCAGAATGGGACAAACAACGCTCCTGTAGACGTCGATCTGCTTGGCGGCTGGACCAAAAACCTGCAGAAAGAAAATAAATCTGTCTGATGAGATCTTAACTATCTTTATACCAATATCAGGTTTAGTTTCAACAGATCCTAACTTCAGTGATTGTTTTAGAGTTTGACAACATTATCCCAGCATGGACCCACCATATCATAAGTATAAGTTTTCCGTGAGGCTTTGTCATTCACGCCTCCTGTCCTCACAACCACCTCCTTCCTGTTCTGATCGCAGTCGATGACGCCGTAAGACGATTTGCGCTCCACTGTGTTGAAGGGTCTGCAACACAAAGTGCTACAGTGTCAAGCAAACATCTAACTTTTTAATAACATCATCGGCAGGCAGGATGAATTTAAAATCAAGTTTTTACCAACAGGTATAAAAATTAAAAACATTTGGACAACAAAAAATTTATAGACATTTACGGAATCAGAATTTAGACAAACATATTTACAAAATATATTTAAAAAAAGCATAAAAGTTACAAAAGGTCACAGCATTGGTGATTTTTATGTATTCTTGTGATTTTATTCTCAAGATGCATCAAATCAAAAACAGAAAAATAATTGCTAAAAAGGCTTTTAAAATCTTTACACCAGCACTTTTGTAATTTTTAGCTTTTTAAATCTGATTTTTGTTTGCTAACCTATAAATCTGAACAATGAAACGCTTCAGAATCTGTAAAATTCTGCTTCAAGAAATACAAAAATCAAAATAACTTTTAAATGTTTAATTCTTTGACTCAAAAAGAGCAGCTGCATCTGTTTTTCTTTAAGTTCATCAGAAGTTTTTAATCCCCAAAGATAGTATGGTTTAGACCTGCCACTTTTTGTTTCATCTGATTGTTTATTTTCCTCAACTTTTAATGCAC